GATACAGAGGATAGCGACGAGTCTATTAAATAATATCTTATTCTACTTAATAATAAAAATAGTGGTAGTGTTGCGTAATACTATTACGAAGGTGAGGTACTAGGATTTTGTGGGGCGCACACTGGGGTGGGGCGCACACTGGTGATACACGTTACTCCCCTCCACCGTCCCATGTATGGATGGATTTACACAAGTGGATACATCGTTCTATAGAGTATCTCTCTCTCATATCATCGCCACCGCAGCTCAGTTTCAACTTCGTTCCAAAAACGATGTGGTTTCTCCATTTTAGCCCTTCTCGCCATGGCCCAATCTCTCGCGTTCGCTTCAAGTCGACATCTTCTTTAGGCTAAGAATTATCCCGTACTCTCCTCTGCCGTCGTATATATTCAGAGATCTATACAAGTGGATACCTCGATGTATAGAGTATCTGAGGAACTATTTATATACACAGTTTCGCGATGAAGGATACATCGGCCATATCAAGATTCACGGTGCCAAGGGCAGTTACACTGCTCTCGTCAGCAACATAGATGTGTTCGCTATCTGTGAAATCATTTAGAGATATAGTAGTCTTCAGTAGTGGTCAATAAGGTAGAAATAGAGACAAGATATGTGAAAGAAAGGTTAGCATTGTCAAGGACTTGACTCATAAGGTACTATATAGACCTGAGTAGAATGATGGGCTCTGATATGAGTCTCAAGCGGAAATGTTCATTACATAATACTACCAAAGTCACTCTGCAGAAGGAAAAATCAGAGAGAAGAGAGGGGAATAAGGCCAGCGGTTTTCATCATGATGAAATACCAGATTACCATACAGGTGTAGTGCATGTTTATCCACGCAGCTTCGCTGATCCAGTCTCAGACACCTTCCTTGCTCCAACGCCTAAAGTTTTCATGAATTGCCGCCCCAGCTATCCAAGGTACCCAATGATTGCAGACTCATCAGCCGTATCTGGTGATAAGCGAGTCTTTGGCAAACAATCTCCAGCTTGCCGCATGCGATTCCCCAAGGATTCAGGCCTCATGGAAGAGCTTCGGATCAAGCCTGACAGAATGCATATGCGACGAACGCTTGTTCTCGATGAAAGCTTCGACCAGATCGTTCACGAATGCAAATGGCATTTGGGGCAGAACAGTGATCCAACTCTTGTCTGCATGTTTTCGCCACATGTTGATCATTAAGCGGCGAGCTTGTGAGTGTTCAGGGGTGCCCGTGTATATAATAGTAACTGTACCGACACATGGCTCCCAACAGTTGCCAGTGTGGCTGATGAGTCTCGCCTCGACGAGAGCATCCACAACAGCGTTCTTGAATCCATTGTCCATGAGTCTTTCGCCCATTGCGTAGCAATTGCTAAGGAGGTGGTACTCGGTGTCCACGCTTCCTTCCATGTTTGAGTCTGATTCTAGGTCTTGGCTGATCATGGTGGGGAGAGTCTTGTCATATAGCCAATGCAGGTAGACCTTGAAACAAGCGGAGTTCTCATCAGCAAGATCAATGACGCGACGCGAGCGGAACGACTGGCACGATACTTTCTCAAGGGCTTTTTCGAAGAATTTTGAGCTTTTGCGGAGCCTAGCCGAGTGCACCATATATTGATCTGGGGTGGTACCAACATGGATGGTGACGCTGTCGGACATGTGATCGGCTGGTGACGGCGAAGGTTGAGCAAGAATTGGAGGAAATCAATGCAGGAATGAGCCAAGACCGGGTCCAGGGAAAGTGAGGGAAAGTGAGGGTAAGGGTAAAGGTAAGGGTAAAGGCAAACGGGAAAGAGATGGAGACCAACTTTGGCCTTGACTGTAGCCAGGCCAGCACCTCTTCCGTCTCTTATATTGTTGCACAGTATGGTAATACAGTCACTGCTTGTTTCCTTCATGACCATCGAATCTTGTTCTTCCACTGGTCGACCTTGGACTGCCACCACGTCTTGTTGGGGGCACGGTCGATTTCTTCCATCAACTTTGTGTAGTGGTCGGGGGCGGACGTGGGCTTGAACATGGCTGGCGACAGGGCATACTTTGTGGCGTATCTGTTCTCGAGCAACGAGTAGAGGGCGTTTACTTGGGCCTGCTCGAGTTTGGGGTTTGGTGGGGGTGAAGGAGTGGCTGGAGCTGTGGCTGAGACTACTGGCGATTGTGGCTTGGGGGCGTCATCAGAGGGAGGAGTGATGGGCTGCACACCGAAAGGCTGGCCGTGGTGCTCGATTGCGCGGGTGAAGGGCAAGTTTGGGCGCAGGGCATCCTTTGGCCAGAGAGTGAGGAGGCGCGTGTATTGCTTTGCTATCTTGAAATGAAATGATGAGCTGTGGGCACGTGACGGCGTTAGGAGGAAGTTTACTTACTGTTGTTGTCATGGTTGTGTGCGTGTGTGTGTGTCAGTGGGGGGGGAGAGAGACGGAAAGAGATGGAGAGATGGAAAGATGCAGTGCAGTAGCAGTGCAGTCAGGGTGTAGTGTAGTGTAGTGTAGCGTAATGCAGTACTAGTAGTATGTGTGTATGTCGGGGTGGGTGAATGTCAAAGAAGACCAAAGACCATGGCCAAGAGTGCAAATCTTGCCATCGATGATGCTTTCTCTCGCTCTAGCACACGCACAAGCAGCCGGGGTCGGGAGCAGCGGGTCTGTGCAGACAGAGAGGGGGGAGCGTGGCGCAGCACCCGCACTTCCATGGCCCAGAAGAGACAAGGCAGGGCGCGGTGCATTTGAAACGCCGCCTCTCACTCTACTGCTGCGCTTGCCGCCTGACACGCCTCTGCTTTGCTTTGCTCTGCTCTGCTTTGCTTTGCCGCCCTCCGTCTACACTACTCTCCACGTTCGCTGCTCGCTTCTCTCATCCTCCTCCCCTTCTTCCTCCACCTGCGCCTGCCGACTCTCAATACCAGAACTGCCCCCTACGCCTCCTCATCGCTGCATCCGACCCTGCGCCACCGTGTCTGCCTGCTGCACACCATGCCCAGCCAGCGCTACGAAAGGGTATGCTCCCCTGCCTCAGGTCGTGGGGAATGCATCGTGCCACTGCGCGAACCCCCCCCCCGGCTTGTTGCTCTCACGACACCCAAACTAACACAGGCCTCAGGTAGCCGCCCAGGACGAAGACGACTCTCACGCATCGTCGACATCGGCTCAGCAGTGGCCCCCGGCCTCGCCACCACCCTCCTTTCACTCGCGCGCATCATCCCCCAATGGAACCTCACGACGCCTCTTAGCACAGGACCCGGCACCCACTGATGAAGATCGCACTCTCGCAGATACGTTTGACTCCGACTCAGACGACGACGACGATGACAATGGCGACGATCGACAGCGCTTGATGCGGGGAAACCCCCGAAGCGAGGACGAGCCTCCGGCCCCCGGCATTCAAAGACGGGTCACCGAACTGCCAGTTTTCAACACACAGGCTCCTACCAGTGGCCGCGTCTACGGCGGTGGCAATGGCGGCGTGTGGGCAAATCTCAGTGCAAAGCCAACTCGGGGTGAGGATGCCGAGGAGAAGCCTCCGGTACGTCTTGTGTATCACCATCCTCAATCTGTGCATTCCCCACTAACACTACTCCAGACATATGAACAAGCCGCCGCAGATGCAACACCGCCATACTGGGAAACAACCATCCTTGCCCCCGGCACTTTTGGCGACGAAGTCTTTGTCGAGGGCCTTCCCGTCGGCTCCCTCTTCAGTTTCCTCTGGAATGCCATGATTTCCATGTCCTTTCAACTCGTCGGTTTCCTGCTTACCTACCTGCTTCACACCACCCACGCTGCAAAGAATGGTTCCCGTGCTGGTCTTGGCATCACGCTTGTGCAGTTTGGCTTCGGTTTCCGCTCTGCAGTCCTCAACCCCAGCAACGGCAGCAACGACAACCCAGGCCAAGGCTTCAATGGCGGCGTCCCAAGCGATCCAAACTCGCACGACTTTGACCCAGACAAGGTCAGTACCGGCAGCTCTGGCGGTGACTCGACACCTACTTCGAGTGCCATCACCGGCAGCGATTGGGTAGCCTATGGCCTCATGATTGTTGGCTGGTTCATCTTGATCAAGAGTGTGTCAGACTTCATTCGTGCCAGGCGGCACGAACAGCTGGTTCTCCAGTCTCCAGATCGTGGCTTGGGTGTTGCCGTAGTTGCCGAGGGTGAAAGTCCAGAGCGCAGTGTATAGACCTTTTTTCGCGCTCTCCTTTTTTTATTGTCCATCCGTATGATATATAGCCTCTGATTGGCAAACAATTTTTCCTTTATTATCTTGTCACGCCCTCTCAGAGTCTTTCTCACCCTCTCACACACACATACATACACAGCGTATTCCCTAGTTTGCATCTTGAATCGGAGTTTTGATATTTCTAGGGTAAGGGTCAATAGGAGGCAAAGACACATCATGTCCTTGTACATCAGCCAATGCTGTTCTGTCTGTAGCACGCATCAACTACAATCTTGTTTTTTTCCACCCCTTTCAACCTTAGATTTGCCATTTGAGTTTGTTTAGGCCGGTGGTCAGTTAGATGAAGCGAATGATGGTAAGCACGGAGTGATGCTGACGATAATGATATCCTTGAAACTGTATACCAAAAAAAAGTTCTATTACTGTTGCTGACAGTCGAAATGGTAAGACAAAAAAGGGGGGTATCTTGATGCAAGAATGGGAAATCAAAAGCCCAAAATGGGAAAAGAAGAATGATACCGCCCAAGGCCCCGAAACGCTGTTTGTGAAACACTGCACCCTGCAACCTATGTTGCTTGACGACCCAGTGAATAAGTCACATGTTAGTTTTCTTCTTTCTCCTCACATGACATTGCATTTTTCGTTGGCATACACCTCGCCATACTGATCCACACCGGCCATCTTTTCATTGTACCGCTGCTTGTCCTTGACTTCTTCGGGGAACCATCTCTTTAGAAATGCCGCCTTTTCTGTATCCAGGTTATCTATGGGGGGTAATGACTTGGTTAGCTTTTGATACAAACAAAAGGAAAGGAGAAAACAACAACAACAACAAAAAACAACAAAACGCACCAGAATTGGCATCAAATATCGTCTTTTGCCGGCAAAACGGACAGTTGTACTGCTTATTGTTCTGCATGACTATCAAGCACCGGATGCAAAATGTATGGTTGCAGCTCAGCTTGACGGGCCGCCATTGAATCTCCATGCACATGGGGCACGAGTAGTCGTCGATTTGCGGCACGTGCGACAGAATCTGCGTGTTGACCTCTGCGCATACCGCCTTGGCGAGGTGCTCCGAAAACTCTGGATACTCGACTTGACGCGGAAACGTAGATTTTACCCCCAGCGCTGTACGCTTGTCGAACTCTGCAAAATAAAAATAAAAACATTGGTTAGTAACTGTGGTGCTATGATTCGAGACAGGCGCTTCTCAAACCAGGAAGGACAGACAAGGGGAGAATGGCGTACTTTTCAAAATCTTCAGCATGGCATTATGGTTGATCTCGCCGAATCGCAGGCCCTGCAGAATTTCGCGGTTGATATGCATAAAGGTATTGAGAGCGGTCAAGTTCTCCTTCTTCTTCAATTGCTCGACGAGACCGGCCTTGGCAATCTTGTTGGAAAAGATGGCGAGCCGTGCCATTGCTTTTTCCGAATCATGCGACTTGTGATCGAGCTCCGTTGTTCCAAAGAAGATGCCCTCTTCGACATAAATCTGGAAGATTTTGCGCCAGGTGGTGAGCATCTTCCTGGTCGTTCGGCGGTCGGGGTCTGTCAACTTGGCAACCTGCTTGCCGAGAGCTTCAATCTGGACATTCATTCTCTTCTGCTCTCGCTCCTGCAGCTTCTCGAGCCCAGAGACCTCGCTGGTGAGACGAGTGAAGAATTCCGTGTCGGAGGTGATTGGCACTAGGACGGTGCGACAGCCCGGCCGATTGCCAGGCGCATTTGCAGCCGTGGGGGATTCGGGCGTGTCTGCAGAGTCATCGAGCACGCGCATGTCCGACATGCCCGTCTCAACGGCCAGCAGATGCAGCTTGTTCCTCGTGTCATTGTCAAGTTTGGCGCCCATGACCTCTCCACTCGTCTCGTCGACATAGAAGAGGAGCTTTGGGTGAAAGGCCCTTGGCGACTGCGAGGCGTCGTCGTCATCATCATGGGAGCCGTGGGGATTGAGAATGTACTCAAAGGGCCGTTCCTGGTTGTCATGGTGCTCGGTCGAGGCATTGTAGTCCTCGACATGCTTGAGCAGCTTGGACAGGGTGGGCGGGTCTAGGCCGACCTGGCGCAGCTCGTCGGTCAGCCTCTTGATGCATTTCTTGAGCTGCGAGTATGAGATAGCCGAGTCGACCCAGTCGGGCGGGAATCCTTCGTCGCGCAGGGTCTGCTTGAAGACATGGCCGAACTTCATGGCTGCCCAGCTATTACTATATGTAGGTAGTATGCGTGCACTAGGGGTGCTGGAGCCGGTGGGCAGGCAGCGTCGACAGGGCTGGCCGGCCAGAGGAGGCGGACGGCGCACGTGGGGAGGATGAGTGGTTCAGAGGCCGGGCGGGGTCCCTGGCGCACCAAAGCAGAAGGAAAGAAGGAAAAAACGCTCCCAAGGCCCTGATGCAGTTCCGTGGGCCGCGTGGCTGGGGCGTGGCTGTGATCGCCGGCCTGGATGTGGCTCACTATGTAGTATGCGGTAAGGAGTGTCCTGTGTCGTTGTGGCAGTGGGTAGTAAGGAGTGAGTACGTGAGTACGTGAGTACGTGAGTAGAGTACGAGGCTCCCTGGTGCGGCCGACGGTAAGCACCAGAGGAAATCAAAAGAGAGAATATGGCGCCGACAAGTGAGCGATCAACGACGGTGCAGCCAGCTCTAGCAACAACGGACTTTTGTTCCGCTTGCCATGCACACTGACAGTGCTTCTTCCTTCCAACACGTGGGAGCGCAGCGTCCTTAAAAACGAAGCGAAAAAAAAAATAAACGAAAACGCATACTTTTTTGCACCGGTCGCCGGTCGCCTGCCGCCTCGCCTGACGTGCGGCGGCTTGTTGATGTAGCGCCGCCTCGTTCGCTCCTGGTCACTTCTGCGTACAACTTTTTCGCCTGCGCCACCGCCCACGAATCAGCTGCCACCCGCCGCACAGTCATGGCCGAGTCTCGGTCATGACGCAACTCTGCCTCTTAACGACTCATCCATGCACATGTGCGACAAACCCACACTTGACATGCCTTGGGCGCATCCCAGCTGATAAGACGCCCGTCAAGGAAGCCCAGGGAAGCTCAATCGGCAGCCATAGTGTTGCAAGGGCGCTTCGTCAGGTTCCGGAGAGATATACATACATGCATACATAGACCCACCCAGACTAGTAGACAATCTCGACCACGGCAACACCGAGTCGAGCCAGAGAGAATACCAACACGACAAACACTCATTTAGACGCTCAGCATGGGCGCATCGCAGTCGTCTCAAGGCGAAGAGACGTCCGCAGGTGGCCAGGTCAAGACGAGCTACTATGAATTGCTAGGAGTGGAGCGCAATGCCACCCAAGACGAGTGCGTCGCCATGGCCTCGTCAATCCTTCACTACTGATTCCTCACAGGCTCAAGAAAGCATACCGCAAGAAAGCTCTCCAACTCCATCCCGACCGCAACTATGGCGATGTCGAACGCACTACCGCTCTCTTCGCCGAGGTGCGAGCCGCTTACGAAGTCCTATCAGACGATCAGGAGCGCGCATGGTACGACGCCCACGAGGCGAGTATTTTGAGAGGGGGCACTGGAGAGGAAGATGCTGGTGAGCATTACCAGGGCAACATGCGTGTTACCACAGCAGATGACCTGGCGCGGATGATGGGCAAGTTCAGAGGAAATGTAGATTTTTCCGACTTACCCAATGGCTTCTTTGGCTTTGTCAGAGAGACATTTGAGCAGCTCGCTCACGAGGAAGAATACGCAGCAGACTATGAAGACATCAACATACCAAACTACCCCTCGTTTGGCCATAAAGAAGACACCTACGACGGTGTCGTGCGCGACTTCTATGCCGCCTGGAATGGATTCGCCACAGCCAAGAACTTTGCATGGTTGGACATGTACCAACTGTCTCATGCCCCCGATCGCCGCACGCGCAGACTGATGGAGAAGGAAAATCAAAAGCTTCGCGACGACGGTAGACGGGAGTTCAACGATGCTGTCAGGACGCTGGTTGCCTTTGTACGCAAGCGAGATCCACGCTTCACACCCAACAGTCAGACGGACGAGGACAAGGCCAAGGCGCAACGGGACGCGCGCAAGGCCCAGGCTGCACGAGCAAGGGCTGCACAGATTGCCAAGATGGAAGAAGAGGTGCAGGCAGTTCCAGAGTGGGCTACAGCACGTCCGGATGATGAGCTGGACGAGGAGAGCGAAGAGGAAATCGAAGAGGAGCACTATGAGTGCGTGGCCTGCAATAAGACTTTCAAGAGTGAGCGACAGTACGATGCGCACGAAAAGAGCAAGAAGCATCAAAAGTCCATACAAGCGCTGAAGAAGAAGATGCAAAAGGACAATGCAAATCTCGACTTGGGCCAGGATGCTTTGGTAGAGAATGTTGTGACACTAGCAGAAGGGCACATTGAAGCAGATGCCACTACCACCGAAATGAACGGCTCGGATGGGTTCCTTGAAGATGTTACAGAAAAAACGGGCAAACTTGGACTAGGAGATAATGACACGGACGAGGAAGAGCCCCAGTTGATGGGAGATGTGTCTGACAACAAAGCCACCGAGCCACACACCACCTCTGGACCAACATTGGCAGACGGTGACGACGACGACGATAACGATGATGATGATGATGGTGATGGTGATGATGACGAAGACGACGAATATGCCTCACGGTCGGAAATTGAAGCTCGTCTGGCAGGTTTCAGTAGCAAAGAGTCATCTAATCCCAAACCCATTGAGGAGCTTGAGACCAAGTCGACGGACGGTACACAGCCAGAAGGCGTTGCAGCGACACAGCCCAAAATGGGCAAAGCCGCACAGAAGCGGGCCAAAAAGGCGGCCAAGCAAGCCGAAGCCGAAGCCGATGATAGTGGTGCGAAGATGAAGTGCGCTGGGTGCAAGGCGGGGTTTTCATCCAAAACCCAACTGCATCAACATTTGAAAGAACATCCCGGACATGCCGCGCTCAAGTCTGTAGCTGGCGGGGGCAAAAAAGGGAAGAGGCGGTAGACTACTCATGTGATTGTATGAGCTTTGATGGAAGTATCGAGAGCATATTCTGCATCGGGCACTGTCATTGGTGTGTTATTTGTGTATGGTTTCAGCATAACATAGGCGTTTGATAGAAAAGTTGTTGCTCGGCCTAGTGGGCTTTTGGAAGAGCATGTAAGTCTCGGTCTAGATGCTTTTTTTTGTTTTTGTTTTGAGAGGTGCCTACATCTTGACATAGGGATGATGTAGTGTTGATTTGCTTCTTACGTTTGTTTTGCAAGGTAGTTGGTATGTTTTGTTGTCCACGGAGCGTTCCAGATGGGTGGAGCCGTGTTCGAGAGGCTGTTGCGTTGTGCTTGTGCGCTTAGAGCCCTAGTAAGTAGACGTGCAGGCAAGTTTAACGACATTTACTTTTATCAACTGCTCCTTCTGGACGATGCATATCTCCGATCTCTTCTAGACTTTTGAGCTTATATTAATTAGTATATGCTCAGGGAAGCTAGATATGAAGGTATTCCGGGCTAGCTCTCACACGTGGCATTGAGTCGATCCAATGCGCGGTACCTTTTCGGTGGCTTCTGAGTTTCTGGAATGTAACGATACAATTACACAGACAACTTAGCTTGACACAAGGTACCTTGGGCGCCTGTATGCACGTGTATCTCAACAGATAGACTGTAGAAAAGAAACCTGTGTCTTCTGTATTGCTAGCACGGATGAGCCGGCGTTGCGATGAAGCAGATGGCGACTGCGTATGTGTGTACGTAAGAACAAAAAGACCTTCTGCGGAGTCAGCTAGGCGCGTATATGCTCATCGCCCGGGGCAGTCTTGGCAGAGGATAGATACGATCCCCTACTTGCTTGTTGGCTGGCTGAGGATCTCGAGCACAGTGAACATGCCCGCATCTCAACCATACGATTCGGCGTATTCGGTCGTGTGCAGGTCACGGTATTAGGTCCATGGCAGTGACACCATGGCGGATTTGGTGTAGCTAGCGCATCAAGGACTTAGCTGTGTCGGCAGACTGGCCGTGTGTTTGTGGGCACGTGGGTACTTGTAGAGACACACACCTACTTAGAGTAGATCGATAGATACATACATACATAGAAACATACAGAGTATGTGCGTAGTTGTTGGGACGGGTACCATGGCGAGTGGCATGGACATTGGGAACAGCACTCCGGCGAAACAAAGGTGGAGACCTTGGGCAGCCTGATGACGCTAAATGGCGGGCAATGGCAGCAGAAGCCCCCTTTGCAGTGCAGGGGATGAAAGGATTTGTCGCCGGAAGAAGATGAGACTGCAACGGGATCTTCATTACCTGCAGTTGGACCACTTTGCTATACGCGTGCCGTCGCGACAAAAGGAAGCGAACTGCAGCTATCAGGGGACAAGTCGGCTAAGCTCCAGTGCCAAGTCCACCCGCCCCCCCTACACCCCCAGAGTCGTTTCTGGGCATGGCGTTGCTTGGTGTGAATTTGCCGAACGCGCCTGGACTGGTCTCTCCTCGCTCACCCGCACACGACGGCTGGCTGGCGGCTTGGAAGGGGGGGAGAGAAAAAAGAGGCTTGCATTTGCAAGCAACGGCCTGAGAGCCGCCCAAGAAGCCAAAAGTCGCCATCGACTCGGGCGCATGGGCGTCACACCTCATCCGCTAGCTGCAATCAGCCCTAGCTTCGCCCAACACGTGCTAGCGCCAGGGTCCCGAAGACGCCGTAGCCCCTGAGCGCTCCCTGCGAGTCACTTGTATCCACCACCTTCTGTCACCTCCACATCCGGCTGATCGTATTCCAAACCATGCGCTTATCATGTCCACCTCTCTCGGCCCTCTCATAGGCCTTGCTCCTCGAACCGTCGCCTTCCACTTGCCCCCTCCGTCATGGCGCTAGCGTAGCCCAGGGGTTCCCAAGCACACGCCCGGCACCGCATATGGCTAGCTGTTGCTCGAGTGCCTTTCTCCCACCCAAGCCGCTCGTATCTCCGGCCCACTATCTCTAGACGCTTTTCGCTTGCATCTCTTGTCCAGCTCTTGAACTCTCTTGTCCCGCTCAGCCCGCTCCTCCTCGTGCCTCACCTCGTTTCCTTTCCCATTCTCACTTTGTTCTCTGGTCGCTTGTTTTTCCTCACCGTTATGCCATCATGATCCCCAAGGGCTACCGACTATCCTTTCCCCACCTCGTCTTTTACGTTTCCACCTTCATAATCACCACCCAGCTTTATTTCATATGGGGCCAGTCCAAACTCAATTACATCGACTTTGCCCATAGGCGCATATTAGGCGACTGGACTTTTGATGCTGATGTCCACGCCAATGTCCACACCCTTAGCCAGGACCAATGCGATTCCGCCTTCCCAAAGCTCTATCACAGCCTTGACGAGTCCGTCCGCTTGCGGCAGGGGAGAAAGGTTCACGCCCAAGATATTGAAATTGAAGAAGGAAGATGCATGCTGAGAGTGCTCATCTACGAGGGAGAGGTATGTTGATGTTGGCCGGTTTCTAGGCTGCATGCGTGCTCACACCTGGCTCAGCTCTTCGTTGTCGATGCCGGAATGCCGGAAAAATGCTATGTTACCAATGGGAATGAGAGGGAACGGATTCTTGGAACTCTGGCCCAGATTGACCGTGCCGTCACTTCCGCGTCTACTTCTGATCCTGCAGTCCCAAACATTGAATTCTCACTTTCGCTTGATGACCTTCCACGCCGGTCTCGGAAGGACGGAACTTTCTTCGGCTACACGCGAAAAGACACACCAGAATACAGAGACATCTGGATGATGCCAAACTATGCCTACTGGGCTTGGAACTACACCCATGCTCCCAGCTGGAACAGCATTAGGAAGGAGATTGAGCAAAAGGAGAAGGACCTGCCCTGGCACAAAAAGGACCCCAGGGTCGTCTGGCGAGGCAAGGTCAAGATGGCAAAGCTAAGAAAGGAATTAGTCAAAGTTAGTGAAGGAAAGGATTGGAGCGATATCAAGCCAGTTGTCATCAATAACGCCAGCGATCCTCATACAAAGGACGTGATGAACTTGAGAGATTTCTGCGGGTATGTTTCCTTGCTCTCAAAAAGAAACCTGGGCTTCCATACTGATTTTTCTTTTCCTCAGCTACAAGTACACGGTCCAAACCGAAGGAACCTCCTACTCCGGCCGCCTCAAGTATCTCCAGCTCTGCCGTTCAGCCATGATCACACATCCCTTGGAATGGCAAGAGTTTCACACGCACCTAATGCGCCTCGCTGGTCCCGAGGTGAATTACATTGAAGCATCTGAGAACTTCGGTAATCTCGAGTCTGCCATGGAATACTACCGTGAACATGACCACGAGGCAGAGCAGATTGCAAAGAATAGTTATGAGACCTTTACCCGAAGGTATCTTACACCAGCAGCAGTGACATGCTACTGGCGACGATTGTTCTGGTCTTGGTCGAGTGTGCAGGGATTCGACCCACTCTTGTACATCCCTGACAAAGACGGCAAGATGGCCATGAGAGGTACACCTTGGACGGCGTTTGCTGCCAACTGGCCCAAGGACCCCGCAGCTATTCCTTGAGCATTGGTGGGTGGGGGGGGGGGGGTCTACCAAGGATTCGGCTGCATGGAGGTGAATTTGCATGAGCATCAGCATCAGCATTGGAGTACCAGGTTTTTCCATTTCGTACGATACCCGCATTTACGCGCCAGGACATTAGACACGTATTAATATTGTTGCACACATTTTGATTGGTTGCCTCGCGTTTTCCCGTCTCTCCATCCTCGGCTATCGAACAAGGTTTTCTAGGTCGACAGTTTGCGGGCAATGCTAATTTTGCGGACGCAGGTCCTGCAGCAAGCAATCTATCTATATTGACGGGGCCTAGCCGCCACTAACTACTGCTGACGCTACAACATACTGACCAACAATAGTAGCGATACAGCTGCGGTGTCAGCTGCTACTGTGTTTTTTTCTGAGGAAGGATTGGAGTTGCGGAGGACTCGAAAGCGCCATTGCGTTCCTTTAATATAGAAACCAATAATCAGCATCCCAAACAAGACTTTCTGTTATCCGCTAAATTTGCATTACGAGAGACTTCGTCAAAGACTCCCAACAAAATCCACAAAGAATTTGAATTAATATGACCTCCAGTCCATGGCACGATACTCAGAATAATCAGCATTGATTTCTATCCTATGCGTCATGTTGCTCCCTTCCGTCTTTACCTTGTTTCAGCTCTCCACAGCTTTACCAAGACTACAGCCACGGGTCTCGCAATACCTGGTTGTTCTCGATACTGGCGTGGGGCATCGCAGCACGCCTATCCCTAGATGGCCGACTTCTCTTCGCCGTATCAACACTGACGGTTCCAACGCGGCTAACCTTACACAATTCGGCGTAGTTGTGTCTGATCCCAACACACTCGAACAACCGATACTTGCCTATGCCCTCACATACTCGCCGTCAACTTCCTCCCTCTTCTCCGCCACAGGTCGGGGCGTAGTGCGAACCAACATAGAAGGTGGGAACCTAGAGTACATCTTGAACAAAGAGAGCGACCCATCGAGTCAGGTTGTCAGCATCACAGCAGCTGAGCAATCTCAGAAGCTTTACTACGGCGATTCCAACACAGGCCTAATCTACTCCTCAAACTACAATGGCAGTAACGTTGCCGTGTTCCGTAACGTATCTCAAGGCCTCACCTTTCTCTCTGAGGACTACAGCTATGCCAATACACACGCCGGTGGCATTGTTGTTGACGAAGCACGGGGCTGGCTCTACTGGAGCTCAGTAAGTGACGGAAGCATCCGGCGCGTCCTTCTCAGCGGTGAGGGGCAGGAGCAAGTTATAGTTACTGGACTCGACAAACCAGGACAGCTACGCATCGCCGGTACCTCCTTGTACTTTGCCGAGCGTGGCTCATGGAGCTCCTCGCCCACAGCTATCAAGTACCTTGGCCGCATGATTGATGAACTTCCTGCATCGCCAACGTCCCCTAACCTAGCCGTACCAACGCGTACTCTCATTTCCTCTACGCAGTCGTCGCTATTTACCGAAATCGACTATACGGGCGAGAAGCAGACGCTGGGAATTGAGAGCTTTGTTGTCTACAGGAATGGTGTGGAACAGATTGTGTACTTTGCTGTTAATAGTGCGGGTAGGACGTCGTTCGGTAAGATAGTAGAGACAGTGTGGAGAGGGAGTGGGGATAGTAGAGGCCCCGTCTTTAAAGTCTTGAATGCAGAGACAAAAGACGTTGGAATACCCGTTGGTTTAGAGCATATTCTATAGTACATAATAGAGACAGAGATTCTCTCTTTTCATTTAAGTCCCTTAAAATGATTAAATCTCTTTTCTTAAATTTTCATTTCCACCTTTTCTATAGTTAACAAAATTAAACTTTCTTAAAAAATATAATATTAGAAAATAAAATATAAAAGTAATTATTAGTTTATTTCTCCTATCTATGTGGGATATCGTATGTTATAACTAAGCGGCCTGGGCTAGTAAATAGGTAGAGTCTACTTAGAGGTTTAGTCTAGGCTAGGTTAGCGTGGTAAATAGTGGGTACGGTGGTAAATGGGTAGAGGTAGGTGTTGGGTTAGGTTGCCAAGAGTAGGCTGGCAAACGGGTACCTCCCACTATAGCGTTATATAGAGGTTAGGTTATAGTTATATAAGCTATAGGTATAAATTATTATTAAGTTATATAGACCTTAGATAAGATTAGAGTTAAATTAGATTAGTTTAGATTATAGTTATATTAGTTTACTAAGTCTTTAAATAGAGATTATAGTTAGGCTATATAAGCCTTAGAAAGAAGTTATAGTTAAGTTATATAGATCTTATATAGAGGTTTAGTTATAAATATTTAATTAGCTATATAAGTTAGAAATTTATTTATCTTTATATAATTTAACTCTTAATAGAAAAGTTTAAAGTAAAAAGATGTATTATATTTTTAAATTATAGTTATATAATAAATTAGAGTACTACTAAGTTAGTAAAGCTAAATCTAAGTCTTCTAAATAGTTTTATATAATATTTTCTAGAATCTTAATATTCTTACTTAATATATTTTTTATATTAGCTAAAAGAGTAAAAAGATTAGATATCTTATCTAATAGTATCTTATCTAAATTCGTAGTTTAAGTAGACTAATTTAGTTCTAAAGTACTAGTATACTTTAAAACTATTATTAACTAAATTATTTAAGTACTAAAATAATAACTTTAGTCTCTAATTATATTCTTTATATTATTAAAAACTTACTTTATACTAACTTAAGTAATGAGTAGAATTAAAATATTCTTAGTAATCTTAGCTAAGTAAAAATAAGTTAATTAGTTTACTCTTTACTAATCTAGGAGGTTAAAATCTTTATTCTTTTATTTATATAGAGTATTTAGATATAGTTTACTCTTTCAATAGATAAACTCTTTCTTTTTATTTAAATCTTAAGTAAGAGAGTTTTAGCTAAAGCTAAATAAGTTACTAAATAGTAATAAAATTATAAAAGGTTTATAGAACTACTATAAGCTATATAATTTTTAAGTAAAAGATGTTATATTTAACTATTAACGTTTAAATTTATTATAGTAGCTAAGTGTTACAAGTAACAGTAGGTGGGATCCTCTCCCTGGGTCTGACAAAGAGTAGTTGGGAGGCCACTCGGGATTCCAACGAACAGGATGACTATCGCGGGGCTTGGAGTCACGTGACGTGCCATCCCGCCAAGACTGAACATCCCGCCAAGGATGGGATGGCAGAGAGTTTTGGGATGGCATGCCATCCTAGACATCCCGCCAAGATATGGAAGGATAGGATGGATGGGATAGCAGGACCAGAGGTAATAAGGATATAAGGATAAATGGATTTCATTATTACTCTTATTATAGTTAACTTAAATTATACTTTCTTACTAGCTATTTTACTTAAGAAGATTACTATATATTAGTCTATTAAATATATTAGTAGTTATTAAGCCTTTATTACCTTCTATATAAGTACGCTACTCTACTATATTATTAGATAACTCTTATAGAGCTCTTCACACTATCTTACTCGCTCTAACCCGGATTGAGCTTAGAGAAGTATTAGCACCTAACCCCGTGTAACACTAAGATAGTTAAGAAACTATTCTTAGTAAATAAACTTATGATTCTAACTCTATATATTATCTTAACTAGTCTATTAGTATCTAACTAAAATAAAAAATAATAATAAAAGTACTTTATATACTATAAGCTTTTACGTTAAATTAAAAATATATCTTAATTCATAATTAGACTTTAAGTACTATTTACTTGGCTTTTTTTACCCTTTTTTTACTATATTATCACTAATTACTAGCTAGTTGATATTTTTGTTATTTTCTATATAATTACTAAGATTATTTATGTTTTAATCTAGAAAATTGAAAAGTCTATTGTATATTGACTAGATAAATTATATTTATAATTTTTTCTTACTAAGATAATGAGTTATAGTTTAAAATTAATATAATATTTAGGTAAATATTTTAAGATAATACTATTTAGCTGAGCTAAGATAGAGTTATTTAAAATCTTAAAATACTATTTATATTATATTTAGATTACTTTAAAGAGAGACTAGTTTTTAGAAAGTGATTTCTTATTTTAGCTAATTATTAATTTATAATTAAAGCTTAATTAAATACTTATATATATTAAAGATAGAGTTCTATTTAGTCTTTTTATATTAAATAATTAATAGATATTTCTTTAGTAAAAAATAGAATTAACTAGTAAGAAATTACTCAAAAAACTATTGAGATAAACTTAGAATAAAATAAATTACTTATAGCTATTTTAGAAATGATATATAATTATAAACTATAATAATAAATGAATATCTTTTAAAGTAGATCTAGTATAGAGATTTACTAAGAAATATTTTAAAGAAAGTATCTTTATAATAGTCTTTTATTATTATTATTAGTAATTAATAATTTTAAGATCTATATAATATTCTAGACTATAAGATTAATAATATAAACTAAATAAGAGATTATACTTTTACTTTAATACTATCTAATATCTTTTCAGTCTAGCTTTATTTTAATGAATTAGATAAGAGTACTATTATTATCTATATTATTATAGAAGATATATAGTAGTCTTAAAGTAGTGTTAGTCTTAGAAAGAATTATTAGTTATTATTTTACTATTAATATCTTAGTATAGCTACTATAAATAGAAATAAAATCTAGAAGTTTTTCTTTAAGCTACTATTTAGTATCAATCTAGTATCTCTTAATAGTAAGAAAAGAAAGATAGTTATTTCATAACTAAGTATTTAGAATAATAGATAACCTAGTATTATTACTAAAGTCTAATAATAGATCTATTATAGCCTTATCATACTACTTTTAGAATATTTTTCTAAATTTATATTCGCTTATTATTATAATGTTAAACTAGAGGAAGTAGATAAAGTAGAAAAATAATAGCTACTTAATTACTTAAAATAACTAGTTATTAGTAATTATAACATATATAATTTTTTTGAAATATCTAGATATAGTAAGACTAAGTAAGTCTATTTATAGCTAAAGTTAAATATTAGAGTTGTGTAAGTTTGATAACTTAATTTATATATTATCTTATTTTCTAATTACTATTATAATAATAGTGCTATTAAATAATCTAGTAAATTTCTATATAAACTAAGGATTATAAATTAGTTT